AGCACTGGTGATTTGGGAAATGCAAATTAATACCACAATATACCACAACATACACACACTAGAATAGCTAAATTTTTTTAAACTAGTAAGGTCAAATGCCGATAAAGGTATAGAGCAACTTATTCATCTATTGCTGGTAGCGATGGAAAAGTAGCTTGGTGATTTCTTATAAACTCAAACATACTTGCCATAAAACTCAGCAAACCTACTCACAGGTATTTTTCCAAGTGAAATGGAAGCATACATTTGCCAAAGAACTGTAATCAAATTCATTATTCATGATAGCAATAGCTAGAAACAACCAAAACATCCATTAACTCCTGACTAAACAAACTGCAGCATATCTACACAATAGATTACTACTTGGCAATAAGAAGGAACCAACTGCTAACACCATGTAGATAAATCTAAAAGGCATTATGCTACATAAAGGAGCCAGATACAAAAGACTATGTACTAAGTGATTCCACTTATATAAAATTGAAGAAAAGGTAAAATTATAATGACAGAAAACAGATCACTGGTTGCCAGGAACCACAAATTAGGGAAAAGGATGAGTTATAAAGGGCATAAGAGAAGGTTTCAGGGGTGATGGAAACGTTTCATATCATAATTATAGTATTGATTATATTGTTGTATACACCTTTCAAACTCAGTGAACTTCACACTAAAAATAGGTTCATTCTATTGTATATAATTTATGCCTTCATAAAGTTTATTTTCGATGGTTCTGTATCAAAACCCAAAGCAAAATTTTTAGACAAAAATCAGTCAAATATTCTGATTTTGAAGAGTAAGCAAGGTGAAAGCAGGGACTTCAAGTAGTGGCTCATATATTATAAAATGCAAAAACATAGTGGTCCAAGATTTTTATTTAGGGAACAGATGAAGCAAAATGGAAAGGCATGAGAAGGTAGAGAGTGCTAACTATATAACCACAGAGGAACATTCAAAAATCAATTAATATACTCTATCACTGGTTGGGCGCAGTGGCTCACGCCTGTAATCCCAGCACTTTAGGAGGCCAAGGTGGGCAGATCACAAGGTCAGGAGTTCAAGACCAGTTTGGCCAACATGGGGAAACCTCGTCTCTACTAAAAATACAAAAAATTAGCTGGGTATGGTGGTGTGCACCTATAATCCCAGCTACTTGGGAGGCTGAGGAAGGAGAATCGCACGAACCCGGGAGGCAGAGGTTGCAGTGAGCCAAGATCGCGCCATTGTACTCAAGCATGGGCAACAGGGCAAGACTCTGTCTCAAAAAAAAAAAAAAAAAAAAAAATATATATATATATATATATATATATAAATATATATATATATATATATGTATACACACACACACACACAATCACATCAACAGCTAAAGAAGAAAAATCATTAGATCATATCAATAAAAGCAATGAACAAAATCTAATACTTATTGATGATAAAACTCCCAGCAGACTAAGAATAGAACTTACTTATCTTGATAAAGAATACCTACAAAGACCTATAACTAACATCTTAATGTTAATGGTGAGAAACAAGATGCTTTTTTGCTAAGATCAGGAAGAGAACAACAATGTCCCCTCTCACCATTCCTATTAAACATTGTACAGGAAGTCCTAGCAAATGCAGTAAGACACTTAGAAAATAAAACAAAAGCTATGCAGACTGAGAAGGAAGAAATAAAACTGTCTTCATTTTCAGGTAACATATGAATGCATGCAGAAACTTCCAGAGATTTGATAAAACAAACAAACAAAAGCTGCTTAGAATAACCAGTAATAGTAAGGTTACTTGTATACAAAGTCAATATATAAGAAGTCAACTGCTTTTCTATATACCACAAATAAGCCATTGAAATTTTAAATTTAAAACTCAGCATCATTCATACTAATAACTAGAAGTACTTAAAATTAATCCAATAAAATATGTACACTATCTATGAGGAAAACTATAAAACTGATGGAAAAAAATCAAAGAATATCATGTCACCAGATCTGTCATATAAGAAATGCTAGAGAGTTCTTCAACCTCAAAGAAAAGAATGCTAAGAAGTAAGAAAAACATTTGAAAGTATAAAACGTACTGATCTGAAAGTATAAAAGTTACTGATAAAACTACAAATATGCAAATATGTAAAATATACAAAATATGCAAATACTGTATTGGCAGTATGTAAATCACTTACATCTTTAGTATTAAGGTTAAAAGACAAAACTATTAAAAATAATTATAGCTATAATAATTTTTTTAAAATACACAATCTAGAAAGATATAGACTGTAGTATCAAAAATTATAAATATGGGAGGGAGAGATGAAGAGTTTTTTTTAATGTAGTTAGATAAGCTGTTTTCAGGTTGAAAGAGCCTTTATGAGATGTTTTTCATAAGCCTCATGGTAATCACAATGCAAAAGCATAGCAGATACATAAAAGATAAAAAGTAAGGAATCGAAGTGTGCCACTACGAAATATTATTAATCACAAAGGAAGACTGCAAGAGAGTAAGACAGGAACAAAAAGTCTAGAAAAAAAATTTAAAAGGAAAGAAAACAATCATCAAATGGCAGTAGAAAGTCTATCTAATGATAAATATCTTGCATATAAATGGATAAATCTTGCATATTGAGTATAAAAACTCAATAAATGGATTGAGTTTTTCAATCAAAAGACATAGAGTGGCTGAATGGAAGAAAAACAAAACAAAATAAAAACACATCACCCCAATTATAGCTCCCTTCAAGAGACTCACTTTATCTGCAAGGAGAAAAATTTATCTGAAACTCACCTGAGACTCACTTTACCTCAAAATGAAGAGAAGAAAAAAGTTATTCCATGCCAAAAAAAAAAAAAAAGGCAGCAGAGCAGGAGTAGCTATATTTATATCAGACAATACAGACTTTAAGTCCAAAAGTGTAAAAAGAGAAAAGGGGAGAGGTAGGAGGAGGAAGATAGTGAAACAGAAAGCTCCACCAATTGTCACCTATGCAAGAACAACAATTTAACAACTATCTACACAGAAAAAAAAAAAAAAAAAACATCTTATGAACCAAAAATCAACTGAGCACTCATAGTCCTGGTATTAACTTTTTATTGCTGAAAGAGGCACTAAAGAGACAGAAAAAAACAGTCCTGATTTGCCAATACCACCCTCTCCAACTCCTGGCATCAGTGGCATGGTGGGGTGAGCATCTCTGGGCACAGGGGGAGGGAAAATACAGCAACTGTGAGGCACTGAACTTAGGTCTGTCCTGTTAGAGGAAACAGGAAAACATGACCAAAATCTGCTGATGCCTGCCCATGGAGGGAGCATTTAAACCAGTCCTGGCCAAAGGGAAATCCCTGATCCCAGCAGTATAAATTTGAGTTCCTGCAAACCTTGCCACCATGGGCTACAGTGCTATGTACAAGTAAACGTGAAAGGCAGTCTAGACCATAAAAACTGCGACTCTTAGGCAAGTCACAGTGATAAACTAGGCCCAGAGACAGTGGACTAGGAGGAAACATGACATACTGAGACATCAGCTGAGGCAGCCAAGGGAATATCAACCTCCCCTAGTATCAACCCTCCCCTAGCCCCTGGTGCCTGCATAGACACTAGCCACGCTGCTGACTGGCTGGGCACCACAGCTGGGTGCCTGGGTGGAGAAGGTGGAGCGAATGGTGAAGCTCATGCTGCCCGGGGAGGAGAGTGAGAGGACAGGACTCAGACTTTGCCGACGACCAAAAGTGAGTTGTTTTTATGTTTCAGTTAATGGGCTAACTAGACAGAATAATGTCACAGTTACAAGCACAAATCTTAAAGTCAGATAGTCTGGACTCAGATCTCAGCTTTCTTACTTTGAACTGAGTGAGCTTAGCAAGTGATTATGTTCTCTGTGTCTCAGTTTCTCATCCTTAAAACCAAGTTAATAAGAGTATTCATAGGATTGTAAAACTTAAATTAAGTTAACATATTTGAAACACTTGAAATGTTCTTAGCATATGGTAAGCACTAAGTAAATATTAGCTAAAAATAACTTATGTTTATGACAATCAAAGAAAAAAAATAGTTTCATACAGAAGAAAGACTGGGTATTCTAAGATGCTTTTTTCAAAGATAAAAAAAATTAAGAAATTTACTGTTAATACACCCTACCACAAAAGCACAAAATACAAGGATTTAAAGTAAACATCGGTCATTTAGCTCTAGTTCCAATAAAAAGAGTATTGAGCACAGAGCCAAATGACATGTGCCTTTTGCAAGGTCAGTTACCTCTCAGCAACCACCACGTAGTAAATAGACTACATGGCCTCCCTATTTCCAAAAAAGTAGTGGTAAGGGGTACAGCAACAACAAAAAACAAGTCGGAACTGAATAATGTCAAATGAGAAACAAGACACAACATAACAAACATGAAAATTCTAAAATCACATGAGATCATTTGAAACGTCTCATGAGACACTTCAAAAGTAATTGAGACCGGACACAGTGGCTCACACCTGTAATCCCAGCACTTTGGGAGGCCAAGGTGGGTGGATTACTTGAGGTCACAAGTTCGAGTCAAGCCTGGCCAACATAGCGAAACCCTGTCTCCACTAAAAATACAAAAAAATTAGCCAGGCATGGTGGCACACACCTGTGTTCAACTACTGGGGAGGCTGAGGCAGGAGAATTGTCTGAACCTGGGAGACAGAGGTTGAGTGAGCCAAGATCATACAACTGCACTCCAGCCTGGGAGACAGAAGGAAACTGTCTTAAAAAATAAAAAATAAAATAATTGAAATAAAATAAAAAACAAAAACAGTAAAGTTATGCTGTCAAATTTAAATAGTTAACGTAAGTGGCACTAGGGACTATGCAACTTAGGAACCAAATGAACCAAATGCTCTTCTGCATCCAGCAGACTCCAGCCTAAGGGTAACAGGTTAGGAATAACCATCACTTCTCCTCGCAACACACACACCTCCCCTGAAGATTATAAGTAAGGTAGCTATATAGACAAAAGAAATTGAGTAAGTCCAACTTCTTACCCTCTTCTGCTTCATCATCCTGGGGTGACATTGGGCCCCCTCCACTAGTAGGAGTGACTGGTTCCTCCTTGTCAGACTCTCGCTGTAGACTCACCACCTCATATATTGCATCTCCAGCATTGGTATGGCCTTTTCCCTCAGACTGAGAAAGACATAACAATATATTTAAGTAGTAGAAGTTTGAAGGAAACACTGAAAAATAGCATTTAAATAGTTCATTCAAAAGAGCTGCAATGAAGAATGGCAGGTCACATGAGGTTCAGAAAACTTGTAAGATGCATTGTCCTTCACAGGATATTCTAAATTTATATTCCTACAGTATTATTTTTAACTAATACAATGAAAGCTACTAATTATTTTGAAAGAACTTAATTTCTCTTCATTAGAAAAATCTGAGCCACCACAGGTTCTAGGACAGACAGATAAGCAAGTGATGCTAGACTCTTAGAACTGACTACCTTACACAAAACTAAAGTATATAGCTCAAAGAATTTTTACAAGTATATATGGTTGGGGAACCACACCCATACCAATATGACTTCCTGTATTATACCCATCCCTGATAGGTAGTCACAGATATATTTGTTATATTTTTTGTTACAGATATATTCGTTATATGTATGGAAAATATATATGTGGGTTACATATATAAATATATATATTGATTTAATTGCTAATCAAACTATAAATTATACATATATTAGCAAATCAAATCCAGTTATATATGTATACATAAAACAATTTCAAATAAATACATATTCAAATATATTTCAAATCAAATACATATAAACCAAATTACAAATTTTATACATACACACATATAAAATAACACATCACAACCAATAGGGTTTAGCTGAGGAATGCAAAGCTGGTTGAACACTGGAAAAATCAATCAGCAATATCCACTATATTAATAGACCAAAGAAGAAAGACCATATGTTCGTATCAATTACTGTCATATCAAAATAAAGGGCAATTGAGAAAAATCAGCATTCATTCATGTTAAAAATGTTCATTAAACTAGCAATAATACAAGGAAGTTTCCTCAACCTGATATAGACTATCTAAGACAAACCTACGCTAACACTATATTTAAAGGTGAAAGGCTGAATCATTTCCCCGAGATGGAGAAAGGAGGAAGAATGTCCACTGTCACCACTCTAATTCAACATCCCATGGAAGTCCTGTCCAGTGCATTACAGCAAGAAAAAGTATACAGATTGGAAATAAAACTGTTCTTATTTACAAACAATGTAACTGTCTTTCTCAGAAGTTGACAAATTTTTTATATAAACAACTCAACTCTGCTGCTGTAGTACAAAACTGTACAATAGTGGTAAAATATTTCATCTGCACTTAGTTTCCTATACAAGCAGAATCTGAACTACTTTGATCGCATACAGAATCTAAATATTGCACCTAGAAACTGAGTTTCAAATACAGTATATTTTTATTAAAAAACACTATTTGTTCCCAATATTCACATATTTTAGATAACTAAACAATCAATCTGTATTTGTAAAGAAAATTGCCTGGTTCATATTAGCACTCATTACAGCTTAGCAACATGTAAATACACATTAGGAGCTCGATAAATATGGGTTGACTAAGTCATGTTACAAAGATTCATCACAGTTATGCAAATGAACTCTAAAACCTTTTCAACATGGCACGCCATCATCAAATATTAAATACAAAGTACAATATTCTGATATCTCTATAAATTCTTTAAAGTGACAAGTCTTAACACCTGCTATAAATGAGGAAATCAGATCTGAGGCTTTTTATATTTTAAACACTAATGCCTAATCCTTAGGGCAGGATTTAGGAATCTGGATTTTTTTTTTAAGGGTCACAAGTTATTCCAATACAAAGCTGAATTGAGAACTGTTGCCTAGAAGACCTGTTATTTTCAACAGGAATGTCTATATAAAACACATAACAGAATCAAATATTCTCACTAAGTGGCAGATACATAAAATCACTTGACAAAATATATTTCCAAACAGCTTCTATTTACCTCTGCAGAGGTGACAGTAAAGAATACCAACACTAATCAGAAGGGCTAAATTAAAAAAAAAAAAAAAAATTGCCCTCCACAGATTATTTTCCTACAACTTTATAAGTACTCCACAACCTTGTTAATTTTCATCTTTCTGCAATTAGAACAGTTATTCTTATTACCCAGTTACTATTGGTTATTTATTGACTGATCATACTTTGATTTAAATAGGTTTAAACCAACATCCATCTTCAAATGGGAATTTTCTTTTTATGCTTTTTAATTCTAGTATTTGATTAAAAGTTTTGTCTCCAACTTAAAGGAATGTCAAGGCACCCAAAAGCAAAGAAGAAATCTGGAGGAGAGGACAAGAAAACATTTGATATTTTAATACCAAACCTACAACTTAGCACAGATCAAAAAAGTAGCTCTCTTCCCTGTACTGAAAGTAAAGTCACAGAAACTTCTGAGAACAGCTAACCTCCTGTCCTGGCCTGAAGACTATCCTTTTCTTATAGGCAAGCCGCTTTCTTCCAAACTATCTCTTGTCTGAAAACCAAAAACAAAGAGTTGGCATTTGGAGAACAGATTTATCAAGAGAAAAGTTTATCCTCCCCCTAACTCTTCAGGTGAAGTACCACTTCATGTCTTTTTACCATTACGGCTCTTCTCAATTCATTCTAACTTTCCCTCCTCTCTTGTTTCTTAAGACCTCTCTCTTTTCTGAATCCAAATTCTATTCCAAGCCAGATACAAAAAGCAAGTAAAGTAATTAGGAAAATGCTCAGCACACAGGAAGTGCTACAGACGTGTTATTTCCTGTTATCATTTTGTGCTGTTGATGTAACACTATAAGGCCTGAGTGAGTCTAACCTATAGTACAATACGCAAGTAATGTTCAGGAATAATGAAGCAGAAAAAGTGGCTTCTGTGTCCTAGTCTAGCGCTACTCTGGAAATTCTCCAAAAATAATTACTATGATAATAATAATAAGGATAGCAAGAATTCAACCCTAACAACAATCCAAGCTTGTCCATTATCTTAGAACATTTACATTAGCTATTCCTTCCCTGGATCTTCATATTGACAGTGGCAGAAGGCACACAAATCCTAGGCAGACAGGGGCAGGTCCCCAGTAAAACCCCACCTTCAAGTCAAAAGACAGTTTAAAGCTTGAAAGCCAAGCTACAAGTCAAATCCACAAATGGACTGAAAATCTGTCTTCCCATTTGGCACACTTTCCACTGACTGATCCCCAGCCTTCACCTATTTTACATATAGCTATGCTTCCCTAATTGACATTTTACACTGTCATGCCCAACTCTCAGTGGTGCCTTTGTTTTAACCTTTTTGCATACTCACAAACCACTCACCATTCTGAGCCCATAAAAGCCTGGACCCAGCCACAGTGGGAGAGAGGCTACCTGACATGGAGTGGGGGCCACCCTGCGTCCCCTCTCTGCTGAGATCTGTTTCAATTCTCAGTTAAATTCTTCTCCACCTTCCTCACTCTTCAATTCTCAACATAATCCTATTCTTCTTGGACATGGGATGAGAACTCAGAACCCACCAAAAGTGGGTACACAGAAGGCTGTACACTGCAGCCCTCTGCCCTCTGCTGGCAGAGGACAACTGACCCACACAACAGAAAGCAGCAGTAGGGCTGAGCCAGGCCTGCAGCCACAGACCAAAGTGGAGCAAGGGGCTGATTAGCATGTTGTAACACCCGCTCAGGGGCTTCGGAGTCATGGGCATCATTGCCTAGGCACCACCACATTCCCCTTGTCTGAACATCAGAGACCACCACTGGAGTGGCTTGAGACATGCCTAGTCCAGCCACAAGCACCACACAAAGCCTGCTTCTGTGTCAGCACTTGGAACAATTGGCCAGACCCCACACTTGCTCACTCACACCCCTACTACAACCAGGGGCGGAACACAGAGTCACAGTGGCCGTGGAATCCATGACTGACTGCAGGCCTGGCATAAACTGGCAGGCCAAGTGAATGGAGCATCTCCTGTGGTGAACCCAGGCCCAGCAAGGCCTGGACAGGGGCACTGCTAGCCAGAGGTCTCCAACTGGCAAAGTGACCAAGAAAAATCCTGCATCACTATGGTGAGCTCCTTGTCATTCAGTTCTCATTTATTTATTTATTTATTTGAGACAAAGTCTCACTCTGTCGCCCAGGCTGGAGTGCAGTGGTGCGATCTCGGCTCACTGTAACCTCTGCCTCCCAGATTCAAGCAATTCTCTGCCTCGGCCTACAGAGTAGCTGGGATTACAGGCACCTGCCACAATGCCCAGCTAATTTTTGTATTTTTAGTAGAGACAGGATTTCACCGCCTTGGCCAGGCTGGTCTTGAACTCCAGACCTCATGATCCATCTATGTTGGTCTCCCAAAGTGCTGGGATTGCAGGCATGAGCTACCGCACCCAGCCCAGTTCTCAGACATTTAAATTGCACTACTAAGACAGGTCTTCCTCCACTTCCCAATCTAAAACATCCACCCACTCATCATCTCACTGATATTCCCTACTATTTTACCATTTGCCTGAATTTCTGTCTCCTCCTTGTAAGCTCCATGAAGCAGGGACCTCAACTGCAGCCTTCACCACCATATCCCCCAATGTCTACAAAAAGTAATTTATCACAGAGTAGACACATAATGAATGTTTATTAAATGAATAAATAAGTAAATGGGCAAACAGCTCTATATGGTAGATGCTATTATTTCCATTTTACACATGAAGAAGCAGAGACTCAAAGACACAACCATCAAATGGTAGAATTGGGAACTAGTCACATGTCTAGTATCAGAATCAAATCATTAATAATTTGGCTTACCTTTTTGTGTCACTTTAGAGTCTACAAAGTAGTAACACAGACATTATCTTATGTGCTAACATATATTCTGCTCTCAATTTGTGCAGGGCTCCCAGAAAATGACTCAAAAATTTCCTCAAAGAGACTTCTTTTAACTATCACTTTATGTCATTCTACTGCAGCGGTCCCTCCCACTGAAGGTGCACAATGCTGTGGCGATGAAGAGAAATCACCACAGCATTGTGCATAGCATATTCTCTTCATGTGGCATTTATCATATGCTCCCTTGTATAATGGTAATTTTTATAAATTTCC